TCGAGCTGCGCAATTTACTCACCAATGCACTTCTGACCATCACCGGGGCAGCAATGCGGCGGGAGTCACGCGGCGCACACGCTCGCGACGACTACCCAGAGCGAGATGACCACAACTGGATGAAGCACACGCTTGCCTACCTTGATGACAAAAACGGCAAGGCTCGCCTTGCGTATCGCAGAGTACACAACGAAATGTTGACAAGTGAACTGGAGAGCATTCCTCCTGCCAAACGTGTTTACTAGTATTAGTGCATTTTAGGACGCTGGATGAAACTGGGGGGTAGATACAGGGATGGAAAGAGGTAGTATTTTTTTAAACGTGACAAGGGAAAGAGGAAATAAAATGCCCAAACGAAAATAGAATCATCTGGAGGTGTGTGTGGAAATGGAAAACGTTTATATTTTTGATTGGCATACATTTGTTACCAGAGGCCGGGATTGGTCACATACAGGTATGGATGGTATGCAATATTGATTTTCAGCCTTTATTTGCGTAGCCGTATGAGTGGAGAGAGCGTTGTATCATGAGGTTGTCTTACCACTCTTCCCGTGTCGTTGTTGTTTTACTCGGCTCCTGTGGTCCGACGTTGCTTCCTGGTGTTCTTGCTGTCCATCTCTTTTCTCCTTCTACATCTTCAGCAAGGCAAACAGTGTGGAAAGGTTCACATTGGTATAGCTGTGTGTAAAATAACCAGATGCTGACCTTGGCGAACGTTCCGGGAAAGCTTCAGGCTTCTCTTCGCCTTTGCAGTGTTTGTGCTGGTCCCGGTGCCGTTGTTCATTCCTGTATTCACCGCTAGCGATGGCCTAACTGGGGTCAATGCTGGCAACACCTCCACAAAGGGCAAGGTAACCCTTTGGGAGAAGCGTCTTTGGGTGTAGGGGGTTGACCATGAGGATCTGCATTCAAATTGCGGAGGGCTTTGCCATCGTGGTGTACGTCTTGACGGACTTAAAATATTTTATGTGTGCATGTTGTTGTTGTTTTTTTGGCTTTTGCGCTCTTGTTATTGCATTCAAGTGAGGCAATGAGGCTTTGTGCTATGCTTCTGTATGAATACTACCACTACCCTGAACGTCCCTCAGGTTTTTCGTCGTCGTTTCTTTGATCTTTCGCCAGGGGTTCACGTCAATGAGAGACCCCGCCGTCGCGAACGCACGAAACTCGTTTCAAGCGGCACGGGTGATTTCCGACTCTCCGCCCTCCCTCTCATACTCCCTCCCTTCACTGCCGCCACACCATCGCATGCTGCTCTGTCTTATTATGGCTTCTGCCACCGCCACCAACACTATCTTCTCCACCTCACACGCAACAATGAGAGAGCGATGGCGTCCGCGACGAATATACCTGCATATTCTTATCGATTGAAAAGGAGCGAAAAATAAAAATGGAAAAAGAGCGGTGATCAAAAAGGTGAGAGAAACCAACTGCACGTTGTTGCAGCGGTGGATAAATTGGTGGTCATGTAACGATACAGGAACGGAAAGAGAGGGAAGTGGAGGGAAGTAAGTTATTTGACGTTGTGGTGAATTTATTTATCGATAGTTCTTGTTGTTGTTTGGGGGGGGGGGTACAGAGAGCAAAAGTAAGTTTTTGCGGTAACTGGGGTAAAGGGGCGAAACTGGGCGGCGACAGCAACGGCAACGGTTGTATCAGTACATGTATAGGATAATTTGTTACAGGGTGTATGTGTGGTGGTGGTGGTGGAAGGAATTGCTAGAGAATGCAATGTGTGTATACCTTTCCTTTACTTGCGTTAAAAATATTGTCTATTTATTCTTTTTTTTTTTCGGTCTTGTTTGTGATGTGTACATGAAAAATGGCACACCCTGATTTACACCTACCTCCTGCTCCTTCCTACTGCCTCTGAGGTGGGCACTGGTGTCACGTGTGAGCGAAAAAAAAAAGTGTTTTTTTTTTTTTGTTCCTCGCTCTGGTATCATGAGACAGAGGCTGATTCGTTGCGTCGCGCTGCTGGTGATCGCTGTGTGGCTGCCGTGGGGCATCTTCTGGTTGCGGCTCGACGACAACGATGCCGAGCTAGGCATGGCTGAAACCAAAGCGGCACGCACCCCCGCCACTCCCAGGGTTATCTTTGTCGTGGCGCAGACACGGCCGTCTCCGGGTTGGTGTCAGATGTTGGCCAGTGCCATCCTCTCCAATGTGACAGTGGTGACGGTCGGCCATGGTGAAAAGTACACGCACAGTCAACGCGTGTTTTGGGTGATGCACTACATCGAGGCGGCGGGACTCCGAGACGAGGACGTGGTTGTCTCGTACGATGGGTCAGACACGCTTCTCAGTGGCGCTCTCACTGTTCAGCGAGCGGTGGATCGATTTATTGCCACAAGCCCCTCCTCGTTTGAGACCTTTGTATCTGAAGCAGTGCACGGTGCGGAGGCGACTGCCCCGCTCCTGTTTACGGCGGAGGGTAATTGTTATCATCCACAGTTGACCGGTAGCGTTAAATGGGGTCTTTCCAAGGGAAGATGCATTTCGGCGTACAAGCGCGTTGAGGGGGTTCTACAACAGCAAAAAAAAGTTTTGGTTGGAGAGAGACGCAATCGCTTGCACTTCCTTAATGCTGGTGGCTATGTGGCCCGTGTGTGGGCCTTGAAACAGGCATTCATGGCGTACCGCACTCTGATTCGTATCCGGAAACTGTGGTGTGATCAAAGTGCCTGGGGGATGTTGTATTTATGGAGCATCTCTAGGGACACCTCTGTGACTCCAACCGTGCGTCTTCCGTTTGGCCTAGTGGGGCTGGACATGCACAATAGCTTCTTTCTTTCCTTGCATGGCATGTCTCTGGGGAAGAGCATACGACTGATTAGCCCCTCCGCCATTGACGAAGCTGTAGTGAGAAGTAAACTGCCATTTTCTCTTTTTTTTGACCTTCTCGACTTCCCTCATGCTACACCTGCTGTTTTGCATTTCAACGGCATTGGACGCAGAGGCGCGGTGCTTCTTGAAACTCTGCGCAACCATACCTCGTGGTTTGTGGAGACCCATCGTAACGAGGCTGCCTTGCTTAAGGCGAGGGAATGGTTGAGGCAGGGCGCGCGTGTGAGTTTACATGGCATTGGTGGGAAAGGGAAGGAAGTTCTCTATGGTGACGTTTGTCGTGCTGGTGCATTTCTGTAGTTCTGTCTCCGTGTTGTGTGTATTCTGCTTTGTTTCCCTTCCCTCTTCTTCAATGCCTTGTAGTGGTGTAGTGGACGCAGCCGCTGTGGGGAGTATTTCATGCGTCTCAGGGTGCGTCGTCGCATTCGTGTCAAACTTCGGCGCCATCTTACCTCCCTCCTTCCTCTCATTCAATTACTCTGTCTTTTTAGTTGGCTGCCCTACGGGCTGTTCGAATAGAGTAGGAACCACGTGAAAATTCATGCCTCTTGACGTCTATAAAGGGTTTTCCCGCAAGTCCTTCTTCGTGACGGGGGGAAGCGGCTTCATGGGAAAAGTCCTCCTGTTTAAACTGTTGAAGGAATTCCCAGACGTTGAGGCCATATATGTCCTGATCCGGGGAAAAAGCTCACGCAAGCTGAGGCGCTATATCGGACCGCAAGAGCGTCTTAAAACGGAGGTGTTGGGCTCACCCTGCTTCGATCCGCTGCGCGAGTCCTTGGGTGCAGATGCCTTCAAGGCGCTCAGCTCGCGTGTCATTGGGGTGGAAGGAAACATTAACGAGGATCGGCTGGGCCTAAGTGATAAGGATTGCCAAATGATTTTAAAATCGGTGCACTACATTGTACACATGGCAGCCACTGTCAACTTTGATGAACGTCTTAACGTGGCTGTGGACACAAATACGTTGGGGGCCCTGCGCGCCCTTGCCATCGCCAAGGAGTGTCGAAAGCTGGAGGCTATGGTGCACGTTTCCACGTGCTATGTTAACTACAACCATCGAGGGGGTACTGTGGAGGAATGCCTGTATCCGCTGCCGTTTGATCCGGAGGCGATGTGCAAGTATCTTCTCTGCTTAAATGAACAGGAGGTGGACGAGGTCTCCGCGAGGCTGTTGAAGAAGTATGACTTCCCGAATACGTATACATTCACCAAATCGATGGGGGAACAGTTGGTGTACGCGCGACGCGGAAATTGTCCTGTGTCCATTGTCCGCCCTTCAATTGTGGGCTGCAGCTACAAGGAGCCGTTTCCGGGCTGGGTGGACGCCCTCACTGCAGCCGGGGGCCTCATCTTGACTGTGGGACTGGGTGTGGTGCATGATGTTTCTGCCTGCGCGGACGCTATTTCCGACATTGTCCCTGTGGATTTTGTGGTCAATACGATTATCAAAGTTCTGTTCAAGACGCAGTACCATTACAAGCGGCAGCGCGTAAAGGTAGACAACGCAGAGCAATCACAACAGCTTCATGTGGGCGGAACACTTCTGACCGCCTTGGCGAAGGCCGAGCTGCCGAAGAAAAGTGGCACAGCTGGTGGTGGTATAGACAGCGTTGTGCCGTTAACAGCCATCGCGTCACAGCACCAGCAGCAGCAACAACAACAACAACAACGACAACAATCGCACTCACAGCCGCAGGCGGAGCAGGATGTTGCTGTTTCCGCTCCTGTGGGTTGTTTAATGCCATGTGAAACACAAGCAGTTCCACTTTCATTTGTGTACCATGCCGCGACTTCGTCATCGGCCAATCACCTGACATGGAAACGTCTTCGGGATGCCGCACGGGTTTATTGGAATGGGAAGCACAAGCATCCAAAGGCGTTATCTTATATGAAAGGGGAGCTTATTGACTCAGATCTTCAGTATATGCTGCGTTTCTTTGTATTTCGTGAGGTGCCGTATCAGTTTCTTCGCCTTGTGGCACACCTTCCCCACCCAATTGGGTCCAGGGAGAAGCAACATCTCGTTGGGAAGCTTGGTCGAGCGCTGTTACGCTCGAGAGAGTTCAACCGCCAGTTCCGTGCCTTTACCAAGCACGAGTGGGTTTTTGCAACAAGACAAACTCAATCATTGGACGATGACCTAAACGAACGCTCTCGCTCTGCCTTTTACTTTGATACGTACATGGTCAACTGGTGGTTTTACTCACAGGCATACGCCCATGGTATTCTCAAATACATTGTGAAGGACACGGGCGGCTTTGAGTTTCCGGAACAGCCTGCCACTGCGTCCGATGTCTTCAAGAGGGCTTCTTCGCTGTAGAAGTGTGTTTGGATATCTAATTTGTGATTCGATTCCTGGTTTGTAGGCGCACACGTGTGTATTGTTCTCTTTGCTGTTGGGCTTTTCTGCCGCTTGGCCGTGGCACTACTTTCCCCCTTCCCCACGTCTATGTGATAAAGATGCATAAATTAATAGGAGTTTGTAACAGGGAAGGCCCGTAGGACGTGGAAGTGCTTCTTTTTTTTTTTACTTTTATGCAACGTTCATCTGCAGCCGCGCCTCTCTTACAGGCCAACGAGGGTTTTTTTTTTTTTACGCAGAATAAAAAAAAAAGGAAATAGAATGGGCAACATATTGTTTGTCCACATGCCAACTCTATGTGGGTTTCTGCGTGAGTGCGTGTGTGTGCTCGCTTTTCTTTGCAGTGTCTGCTCGTGGGGGTGCTCACTTGCCTGCTATGAGCAACGGTTCTTTTTCCTTTTCTCTTTCCCCTTTGCGCGATACAGGCTTGTGAAAAGAGTGCGTGGCCACGCGAGTCCAGGGGAAAACCAAACCGCAGGGAATGCAACCGCCACGCATAGTGCCGAACCTTTTGTTGGTCTCTGACCTCGCCGTGAACACGAAAAACGTGCTGGAGGTGGGGTTCGAACCCACGAAGCTCACGCATGAGAACTTAAGTCTCACCCCTTTGACCAACTCGGGAACCCCAGCGCTAGCCGCGCGGGCAGGGACTTAAGCAACCCCCACTAAAAAAAGAAGAAACCTTTCACACATTCACACACATAGGCAACCCTCAAAACGGGGGTGGGCAAAAAGTGCTCCCACCTGGATTCGAACCAGGGTTATCGGATTCAGAGTCCGAGGTGATAACCGCTACACTATGGGAGCCACGGTCATCGTCACCACGCGTGCACTAAGGGCTCCTTATACAACGTTTCACTACCAAAACCATCCATTGGCACGCATGGCTCTCATAGCTCAGTCGGTTAGAGCGTGGGTCTAATAAGCCCAAGGTCACAGGTTCGACCCCTGTTGGGAGCACTTTTTCCACCGATTATCATACTCCTCCCCCTTGCTCTCTCTACGGCGCCAGCTCTGTGGGACTGTCCCCCGTGCAAGGGCTCCTGTTGGGGTGGCTAAGGGCGCAAATCCCCGGGCGCCTCCTCGCTTCTGCCGCGCACACCTTCACAAGACTGCTCTGCTTCCTGGCGCGTAGCGAGCACAAGCCAGCGGCTTTTGGCGGCGGCGCCGTCCAACTCCGCCAGTTCGGGGGCCCAAAACGACGGCCTCCGGTGGCTCTTTGCCGGGACTACCACCTTGGCGGCCCGCCGTCTGCCTGGCGTAATTCGTTGTTCTGCGCCGCCCATGTTGCCTCCATGCCCCGTGGAATCCTGCGGAGCTGATTGACTGCGTGGCGATATCTCCTCCGGTTGGCCTCCCCCGCGTAGGCAAACTTCGGGAAGGCCTCGGTGGGTTGGCGGGCGCGCTATCGCACACTGATCTTGCCGCGGGATCCGGGTGGAATATCGCGGCCCCAACCCACCGCAGTTGCCTCGCCTTCTGCGCGGGGCAGCTTCTCCAACTCCACCCCGGC